TGGATATTTGAAACCGATAAAGACGCGATATCAAAGGATTATTCCGAGGATTCACTTTCAAATTTACTGAATTTGCGAGAAATTATGGATACACCGCTGAAGATCATACGGAAGACACCTTGTCGGTGTTCCGGATACCGAAAGGCAAAAATTTTAAAGAACGCATAAGGCAACCCCCGGTGTTGCTTACGCACGGGCTGCTACAGAGTTCTGATGTTTGGTTAGATGCCGGTCCATCAGCAGGCCTCGCATTTCTTATATCAGACGCTTGCTATGATCTGTGGGTTGTAAATGTTCGTGGCACGTATTATGGAAGGAGAAACGTTCGTCTCAATCCAAACACAGACCCACAATTTTAGTTTTATTAGAAAGTTAGACGTTCCAGCTATTATTGACTACATGTTAAACAAGACGGGATTTTCAAAATTAAATTATGTTGGGTTCTCACAAGGAGCTCGGATATTTTTCATCATGTGCTCAGAAACATTTGGATATTGCCACAAAATAAAAGATTCCTTAATTTAGCACCAGCCACAAGACAGAAATACGTGAGATCTATACCTATAAGATGGTTGTCTCAATTTTATGCTTTAATAGAATTACTTTTAAGCATTCCTCGTAAGTTCGAAGTTTTACAAAAAGGGGGATCGATTCAAAAAGCGTTTTTTTTTTCTTTTGCAAAGATAATATTTTGGCAGGATAAAAATATCAATATTTAATTTGCAACAATCCGCCTATTAAATACAATAATGTGTCTTACCTAGATTGAAAAGCACCTAACGCCCTCCCTCAATTGCGTGCACTAATCTCGTCACCACTAATCCCAGCACCACTATTTCCAACACCGCTACTCCCGACACCACCACTCCCAACACCACTACTCCAGGAAAGACACACCATCGACGATAATACGACATGTGTTTCGCCTCTACACAAGGTATCCTCAGGTGATGTAGACTCTACGGCTATTTCGTGGTTGTGTGTGAAGCACATACAACCGTTTTTTTGTCATATCGAAGCGCTGTTCACAAAAGAACGTCAGTGACATCAGCGTTCTTAGACTTTGGAAGAGAATTTCGGGTGCCTGCAGAACTGATCGCCGGAATACCATCTGATGTCCCACGCAGTGTAACCGATTATGCAAATGACTTGTGGAACAAAATGAATGCCATTTATGCAAATATCTGAAAAGATGAAAACCCGCTATGACCGCAAAATGAACAACAAAGGGTTCGACGAAGGTTCACTTGTGTGTTTGTAATCCAATCCGCAGTGAAGGGAAATCTACTAAGCATCAAGTTAAATAGGATAGAACGTACCGGATTGTGACAAGGATCAATGACTTAGCCTACCGGATACAGAAAGGTGCAAGAGGTACTCCTAACATCGTCCATGTGGATCGATTGGCGCGTTATTATGGGGACGATAATGCTCGGGACGAGCATATCTTAGGAGGGGGCAGTGTTGCGGGTCGTAATTAATGCTTGGTACATGGCAATAGCGCCATCTAGTATCTAGTAGTAGAACTAACCTTTCGAGAAAATTGCATACTACGTCTTTCTAAACCTAGTCGGTCGGTCGGTAGTATGTTTTAAGTTGTAATTGGTGTTCGGTATTTAAAGTGTCAATTTTGGTAATTCAATCGGCCGTTTTTATTTTCACGGGCCCCAAGTTCGTAACGTTATTTATTACGTTTATTTATTACGTGTCAATGTATTCACTTAAAAATTGAAAACATAATTTAGTTTATTTTTCTGTTGCAACAGAAAAATAAACTATATAAAAGACAATACTGTATATATAACTCCTGTATATAAGACAATATAAATAAGAAGTGCAGTCATAGTGCACAGGCGAAAAATTATTAACACACCACCCCTAAAGTACCTGGAATTCAGCATTGATACTAATTTTGATATTTTAATAAGCAGTCAAAACGTTCCTCGTTATAATTACATGAATTTACCAGATGGACATATGACTCCCTCATAGAGAATTTGAGGCAATCTGGGGAAAAGTCCTATGTTCTATTCTATGCAGTCAACTTTTTACATTTTGTAATGATGATTTCTTATATTTACGCGAACATTGCACATGATTAAAACTACTTTTACGGACTACTATTACATCAGATTTGATAGACCACAAAGACCCAACCATTACATCAGATTTGATAGACCACAAATCCTCGCGAAAGAACACCGATTCCTACCAAGGATGATACGTGAGGCTATTGAAATTAAAAAACATCCTAATTTCAATAGAGAAGGAGGCTGGGTACTACCACCTGCTTGGGATCCTATAATCAATAAAATTAAAACTAAACCCAAGCATACCACTGCAAGACCTCAGGACATAGTCAGTTCATTTTGCATAGATCGGACCATAAACAATAATTAAAAAAGCTGAAGGTACTCCGGGTTTAACAATGACATCGGGACGTCAGTCATCTCAGTCCCCCGTGACCATGGGTGCTGGAAAGCGCCCGAAACGTCGGGAATTAAAAATAAAAACAAAAAGTAAGAAAAAATAAACGCGATAAAATCCGTAAAAGTAGTTTTACATTTTGTAATGAATTAATGAATAAAAAGTGTTAAGAAATATTATTATATTGTATATTCATATGCTCTCAATATTTCTGCAAAATTTCAGATTGTTCAGACATCCGGATGTAGGTGAAAATTAAATTATAAAATTCCTTTAGATAAATACAAACATACTTAGGCATCGAAATGCAGATGCGTTGTCACCTTTGTGGATTAAGATCGTATGCTTCATTTCCAGAGAAGAACGTTTCCGGTTCTCTACACTATGCCACCACCCCATTCGAACTGACGTCTTCGTGCTACATACCAATATATATATAGCCTGATCTGTGTATTTGTTTGTATACGTGCGTACATATAGATTTTTTTACTAAAATAACGGTGACAAACGAGCACACAGTCCACTTGATTATAAGTGGATGCTGAAGCCCATAGATATCTACATCCATCCTCAGTTAATAATCAAAATGCAGAAGCGTTGTCACCCTGAGAATTATGATAAAATGCCTCGTTTCCAGTTAAAAGGGTCTCCGGTTCCCTACGCTTACCATAATAAACACAGCAACACGTATAACAGTGCTAATAAATCAAGCTAATAAAAGTGGGTGATGCTGTGTTTGAAGCGTATAAAGAACTAGTGTAATGCTGGGAGGAAATCCATCTTGGTTCTCAGATGTGACACTGTGTTGGTTTGCCAATGAGCTATAGCAGCCACTTACCATAAGGTGGACTTTTGTTTGTCACTTAAATTAAAGCACAATGTAAGAAATTTTATTTGCGCATAATTTTACAAAATCGACAAAGCGTTTTGTTGTCGCTTCTGATAAAACTGGTTTATTGTATTAAACATTCGGTTAATGACTTATTATTATCAACAGTTAAAATAATTAAAACAGGTTTTAGGTAGGTATTAACTAAATATGACTGTCGATACTATATATACACAAAATTATTTTTATATTTTTTTCCCAATTATAGTTTCAATAACACACTTACTAAGAAAAAATTTGAATGAAATACAAAAATTATGAAATGAAATATAATATAAAATAAGTGTTTTATAACATAATGCAGACATAATAATATAATGTTAATTTAATTTACGAGAAAAAAAGCCCGCGGGGGCGGGATACTTGCATTTTCTTTCAAGGAAAACACGTACTTCACACAGTTTCACTTCTAGTGATTACTTTCAGCAAGCTTTCGGAGGAGAAATAAGTCGATAACACAGTGTACTCCATGATTTCCTATATTTACACGAACGCTACACATTTAAATAAAATCAGTTTTTACGGGTTTTATCGCGTAAAGTAAAGTAAAGTAAAGTTACAGCCTATATACGTCCCACTGCTGGGCTCAGGCCTCCCCTCATTTCTGAGAGGGTTTAGGGCAAGGAAGTGTCCGCCGCGCTGCCCAAATGCGTATTGATGAACTTCACATGTCTTCGAAATATTTTTTTCTTATTCCTCAGACATGCAGGTTTCCTCACGATGTTTTCCTTCACCGCCGAGCACGTGGTAAAACAGCACTTAAAATTGCAATTAACAATTTCATTGGTGCCGGCGGGAATCGAACCCGGGTTACTCGCGTTCTGTTATATTTACAGCGAGCGTTAACCACTGAGCTACCACGGCTCGCGTATGTTAACTTATTTTATATTTCCGACGTTTAGAGCATTTTACAGCATCCATGGTCACGGAGGGAACAGAGGTGTTCGACGTCTCAATGTCATAGTAAACCACGGTTAACTCTAGATTAAAATTATTAATTTGGTATGAAATATACTACATAGATCGAAACAAAAAAATCAGATCTACACAGTATGTTACATACTTCCGTTAAAACTAGTGTTATTTAATAGTGTACCTCAATTCAGATTACAAAAAAATATTCAATGCACAGAAAGTGTCATGTGAGAGTTTATTGTAGTATTAATAAATAAATTTGTAGATAAAGATATAATATCATACTCGTAATCACTTGAAGAAGGTACTACATCGTTGTAAGTAAAATTTAAATTTGCATAAAAATAAAATTAAACCGAAGAACTTTATACTCGCGTACAGTGAATTCTTCGGCGACAGCTTGGAATATGAGCTACCACGACTAGTCAATTAAGTGTGAACAAATACGATTCCGTTAATGTTGTTAAAATTTTATATGATTACTTCTTAAGTTCGACTTCTTCGCAATAATGCGTAAAAGAGTGTAGGGAGTACAATGCGTTGAGCAGAATGCGTAGTGGCCGCAACAGTATCCTGAACATGTTTGCCGAACGATATGATGGATATATTCTAAGTCACTGGAATGGTTTATTGAAAAGTAATTATACTTATTTAAGAAACTTACATTGGTATATCAGGTGCGCAATGAATTACTAACAAGTTATTTATCTCGGTCACATATAAAAGAAATACTTAGTATTATTATTGATTATTATTATTAAGTAAATGTTTATAGATCCAAACCACTATATTTCTGTAAATACTCACTGATTTTAGGAAAAATAGTTATCTTTGTGTATTGACTATAGCAGTTGTCTAAGTGAGTCCATGTCGCACGTTTTATTTTATAAGACTCTATCAAATTTGACAATTGAGTCGAAAGCCAGTGAACGTCCTTCGAATCGACCAATAAATCGTTTTCACTATACATTAATACAACAGGAATGTTAGTACGATTGAGGTTATAAATAGGCGGTTGAACGGTACCATATAGTTCCAAATTCTTACGTGTACCATAATTGTATTTTTGAAATCTACCTGATATCACGTTTTGACCAAAGAAAGCTAAATTCCGAGCTGAAGTTCCACCAGGGAAATGTCCAAATAACACTCTTATCGTTTGAGTTAAAATTGAACCCGGATCATAAGAATTGATTAAAGCCAACGCTGCTCTACACACAGTTCCCGCCAAAATGTTATCTTTGCAAAAGAAAAAAAACGCTTTTTGAATCGATCCCCCTTTTTGTGAAACTTCCAACTCACGAGGACTGCTTAAAAGTGGTTCAATTAAAGCATAAAATTGATACAACAATCTTATAGGTATAGATCTCACGTATTTCTGTCTTGTGGCTGGTGCTAAATTAATGGAAACTTTTATTTTGTCGCAGTATCCAAATGTTTCGGAGCACATGATGAAAAATATCCGAGCTCCTTGTGAGAATCCAACATAATTTAATTTCGAAGATCCCGTCTCTTTTAACATGTAGTCAATAATAGCTGGAACGTCTGACCGTCCCATATCATGTGAGGTAAAATTCCAAAATTGTGAGTCTGTATCTGGATTGAGACGAACGTTTCTTCTTCCATAATACGTGCCACGCACATTTCCAACCCACAGATCATAGCACGCGTCTGATATAAGAAACGCGAGGCCTGCTGATGGACCGGCATCTAACCAAGAATCCGAACTCTGTAGCAGCCCGTGCATAAGCAACACTGGAGGTTGCCTTACCCTTCCTCTACAGTTTTTGCCCTTCGGTATCCGGAATACCGAGAGGATGTACCCATCTCCTGTTATTACAGTAAGTTCTTCAGCTGCATATCCATAATTTCTCGCAAATTCAGTAAAATTTGAAAGTGAATCCCGTGGGTAACCTTGTGATGTTGCGTCTTTATCGATTCTAAAAGCCAAGTTTTGCCCAAATGCATTTTTGAAAATAGCGAAAAATAAAAGCACCAGAAATACAACGTCACCGCTTTTAGAAGTCATTTCGTTGATTAACTTCACTTTCACTGACAAGACATTTAAAACATGGATCCGTTATCTCAATTTATTATCACTACGTTCATTTAAATAGCTTTATGTAGGTTGAGGCAATCGTGCTAGTTTTTCTACTTTCAAGGCCCTTATTAGACATTTTCCGTATTTTACTAACAGTTCAAAAAGATTATAATAAATAGAATCTCAAAAATAAAATACCAGCGTAAGAATATCCATTACCCCATGCCGATCGGTGGGTGTCGTAAAAGGTAACAGAGAGAAATAAAACAGCAGCACCGTCTTAATAACAATAAAATATAAATATGGCTATGGTTGAAAACCCGTCTATTAAGCGTAACAACTATGTAAATACTCTACTAGTAATCTCTCCTATGGGGAGGATATTTTCAGCATTTCCATATTGATAGGCTGTAACGTAAAACGTAATTAAGAAAAAGTATAACAAGTAAAGTATATGTTAGTATATATATATTTACAAACATAAACACTCACGCCTGTCACCCAGAGGGGTAGGCAGAGACTACTGACTTCCATTTAGCACGATCCTGACATACCTCTCTCGCCTCTTCCACATACATGCTCGTCGGTTAAGGGTACTCTTAATTTGGCCCATTTTTAGTATATCGTCAATTTGGTCGACAAACTTCCGCCTAGGACGTCCCTTTCCGACTCTTCCATTCACTTCTGTAACATATATTTGCTTTTTTAGTCTTTCCGCATTCATTCTTTCTACATGACCAAACCACCGAAGCATTCGTTTCTTAATCCTGGTCACCGCATCATCTTGCAAACCACACTCTTCTTTTATCACACAGTTTCCTTCACAACCTCAATATTACACATCGTAAAACACTCAGATTCAGCCCTAACATACTCCTTAGCGACCGCATTTCTACTGCATTTATTCTACTCTTGTGTTTCTTCTGCCACACCCAACTTTCACTAACATACGTTAAAGTTGACGACTCCGTGGCGCAGTGGCTTAGCAATGAGTGGCTGCGCTGGGGGTCGCGGGTTCGAATCCCGCACGGAACAAGTATTTGTATGGCCTACAAGTAGTTGTTCCTGGTCTGGATGTTCGTCCTTGTGCAATTTATGTTTGTAAACTGCCCCCCACAATACAAGAGAAAATCTTAGTGTAGGGGTAACATTTAAAAAAAATAAAAAAACACAAGTGTTCACAATATAGTGTGGAGCCCCATTTACTTTATTTCCTGCATTCACTCGTCGTTCAATATCCTTATCATATCTCTCATCCCTGCTGAATACACATCCCAAATATACGAACTCATCCACTTGCTCAATTAACTCTCCTTCTATTCTTATTTCACATATCGTTTTACTTTCTTCTCTTTCAAAAACCATCACTTTCGTCTTACTTTCGTCCACTTTCATTCCCCTTTCTTTTTATGACCTGTTCATTAATGTAACCATCATTTGCAACTCGGCCGCCGACGACGCAAGTATGACTTGATCATCGGCGTACAAAGGCATTTGATGGTTAACTCACCCAATATTAACCCGCATTCTTCAACTTTAAAATTTTCCAAACAGCTGTCCATAAAAATAGGTTGAACAGCCACGGGGAAGCTACACAGCCCTGTCTGACACCTTTATCGATGACAAACCATTCCGAGTAGACCCGTTGATTCTAACACAAGCACTCGAGTACAGAGACTTTAATGCCTGTATCAAACCAGCGCTCTACCTAAATGCGTTCAGCGTTTGCCATAACACATCCCTGTCCACTCTGTCATAAGCCTTTTCCTAGTCCATGAACGCACAAAAAACTTTTTGATTTTTCGCCAAAAACTTCTCCGCGATCATGCGCATGGAAAAGACGTGATCTGTACACCCCATTCCCTTTCTAAATCCCGCTTGCACATCCCAAATTTTTTCATCAGTTTCTTTCATAACTCTTTCAATTAGTACCTTAGCATACATTTTTCCCACAATGCTAAGAAGACTGATACCACGGTAGTTTTTACAGTCCTGCTGTGACCCTTTTCCCCTATATATTGGGACTATCACGGCTTTGCACCAGTCTCCCGGTACCCGCTTTAGTTCCCAACATAAATTAAACAAGGTATCTCCCTATCTCTTTCATCTTCTTTCGGAATTTCTATTTCATTTAGTTCACACTTCTCCTCACTCATAAATACGCTTTCAAAATATTCCTTCCATCTCTTTAGACTCAACACTTCATCATTCAGGATACAGCCATTCTCGTCTCGTATCGCATTCAATCTAGGCTGTTTCGAAAGTCCCCTGGTATTTCTTACGAGTTTCCAGAACATTTTAATATTTGCCTGGAAGTTATCCGATATTCTTCTATCATTCCTATCCGTTCTTTCTTGCTTTTTCCTTTCAACTAATTCTTTTACTCTCTTATTTAAACGTTTAAACTCAGCCTTTTTTCTTTCATTCTCATCATTCTTACCGCCAGAATTACCAGCTTTGGTCGCTAGTAAATCTAGCCATGCTCTCTTCTTTGCTTCAACTTCCATACGTACCTCATCATCCCACCATAACGTATTGTCTTTCCTTTCATTCGTTCTCTTACTAACACCACATACTTCGGTAGCTGCATCCACTAAACCTTTCTTAACATTATGCCACACATTCTCCAAGTCTAACTCATTCACACACAACTCATCCAAATTACTTATATTTTCTCTCAGTCTGCATTTGTACTTGTCTTTCACATCTTCATCTTGTAACCTCTCAATTCTTATACGCTGTAACGCAGTGGTAGACACAGATGTCCTATGCTGCCAATGTCTGTATAAACCCCTAAATCGGCATAAGACCAGGTAGTGGTCCGTCCCTACGTTGGACCCCCGGTAAACCCTTGTATCCACCACTGCGCTCCTCATTCTTTCATCCACAGTTATGAAATCTATCATGCTTCTATCATCACCTCTTTCCCAAGTATATATGTGAATATTCTTATGACGAAAGAAAGTGTTCGTCATAAAAAGATTCCTTTCCACACATACGGTGAGGAGGCTTTCACCATTCTCATTAATACTTTCATCACCAAACGTTCCCAGTATCCTTTCATAGCCAAACTTCCTCACCCCAACTCTTCCATTAAAATCTCCTAACATAACAATATTTTCATTTTCCTTACATTTCATTAAAACCATCCTTACCATCTCCCAAAACTGCTCTCGGATACAAGTGGGCTTAGACATGTCTGGGGCGTAGACCCCTAGAACAAACAACTTCTTTAGGCCCACTTTTATTCGTATCCATAGCAGTCTCGGGCTTACACATTCATACTCTTTCACACATTGACCCATTCTTTCTGAAAGGATGATACCGACTCCCTAGTATGCTAGCTCGGTCTCGTCTACACCGGACCAGTAAGCGGTATATATGCCATGTTTAGTGACATCCTTCCGCTTCCGCTTCGTCTCATTTACACATAACAAATCTATTCCTCTATCATACATCATATCGCATACTTCATTCATCTTAACCTTCATTGCTCCACATACATTCAGCGTAGCTAGACGGGCCTCCGCAATCCTCTTTTCGCCCCTCCGGGAGACAGAATGTGACGGGTGGCAAACCTCGTCGCCGGTTTTCCTCCCGGAGATTCTTCGCACCCCTACCCCATTAAAGGGGCGCCGTGAACTCGGGGCCATTTCTTTTACTTTTTGCCTCATGGTGCGAAAACTAAGGTGTGGCATATTTTATGCCGCTACCACACGGCGAGTAGCCGAGTCTGTTGTGCTCACCCGAGGGAAACGTGTAGGGTAGGATTAGGTTGTTGAATCCTACGGATGCGAGCGACTTATCCCCCTATATATATATATATATATATATATATATATATATATATATATATATATATATATATATATATATATAATTAAATCTTTAATTAAAAGTTCATAAAATTAAAAAAGTTTCTGTCCGACACCGTCCGTAAATTCATGGATACCCTATGCGCCCGAGTGACGTAATCACTATAAAGATCACCGCCCGCACTAGCTACCTGCACAACATTCCAATAAAAACACAATAGGTACACATAACCTGTGATGTAACTTTTCCTTCATACTCAGTCATCCAGTACATATTCATAATTCAATAATCGCCTATAAATATCATCTAAAAATAATCATCAATCAATTAATAATATCTTGACAATTATTTACAATGATTTCGCTTTTATTTCAAATTTTGTCAAAATGTTTTTTGAATTATTTTTATAAATATGTTTATACATAACAAGCCATTTTTTTAGTGGTGCCTGCCGATTTCATCTAATTACTGAGATTATTTGATTAGCCAAATGTTCTATTAATGAAATCACCTCGTGGTCTACATATCGGTTTATCAGAAAAAGTTTACAGGATGGATAAGACATACCCTTGGGTAGGTAAGGGGATGCTGTGGCCCATAGACATCTACATTTATCCTAAGAATCAAAACGCAGATGCGTTGTCACCTCTGAGGACTATGATCCATCATATTGAAACGATGCATTCCAATGACTCGTCCAATGTTCTCTAAACTCACCACACGAAAACATTTAACTGCTATTTAACGCTAGTATTCTGTGAGAGCATGGTCTTACCCTGGTCGAGTCGAAACATTCGTACTACAACGATAATATAGCTGTAACATAGCTCTACCTCGTATAAATACGCCTTTATAACTTGCCAGGAAATTCCACGAGCCACAAGCGTTAACCTTCTGTTCTGATAGCGATTATTACTAAAGGCCTGATTTTTTTTATAGGAGAGGAGGCAAACGAGCATACGGCTCACCTGATGGTAAGTGATTACCGTCGCCCATGAACAGTTGCAACATCAGGGGGTTTGCAGATGCGTTGCCAGCCTTTTAGAAAGGAATAGGCTCTTTTCTTGAAGGTCCCTAAGTCGTATCAGTCCGGAAAAATCTCTGGTGGTAGTTGATTCCACAAGAAAGTTGTGCGAGGAAGAACTTCTTTTAGTGGTGGTTCTTTTAGTTTC